TGAGCCTCAAATCTTTTTCATCAAACATCAACAACATTCCTAACTGAATTTTTTTCTTGGCAACATCTCTACTAGTATATTGGAGGAACATCCTGTGTCTGTTCCACCCAACAATTTTTTGGTTCTGTGTTATCCTGAAATTTCCAATTGGCACTGACTTCATTTTAATAACTGAAAAGAGAGAAGGGGAAAGCACAATACAAAAACCATTTCTTCCGATACAAGTTATTAGATATAAAATGAGTAGTCTCTTCTGAGAAAAACAGTACAGTATTCTTTATTAGCAGTAAAGAGAAGAGTTCCATTCTAACTTACCTGGCAAAGTTCGGAAAATTGCAACATGCTATATAACCACTTAAATACGTAACTTTGCCCTGTGCAGCCTGTAAAAGTTTGCTCTGTGGCTAAAGGCCAGGCTTTCTTCATCCTTTCTTCACTGTAAGCGCTTTCCTTTTCTCAAGTAATATTGTGAAATTCGTGACAGCATTTTTTGCTTTTAGTCTTCCAGGCCCTACAAAAGCTTCTCTCACGTTAAGGATGAGAATATTTTCTATGTTGCTTAATCAATTATTTCATGAATACCTGGAATGAGAGAGCAAAGTATCACCCAACTGACATATGAAACGAAAGAAAAATCACTGAACTTATTGGTTGCAAATTGGTGGTCTAGATTGTCTTTTCAGAACTGCAGTTTTACTTAGAGATAAATAAGTAAAATACTGTTACTGCATCCAATCTCTTTTACCGATTAAGGAGAAATAGTGTAACTTGGATCCTGGTTTTAAAAGTCTAATGTGGCATGAAATAAATAGCTCTCTTGACAGCACAGAACGGAAAAAAGAAAGATGATTATTAAACTGTGTGTAAAAGTCGTCTTTATTGCTCTATTGTTGTTTTGGCTTCGTTCTGAGACGTGTGGAAGGCTACAGAAAAGCCTAAGCATGTTTCTTGGCAGCTCTTCATAAGCAGTGAGCCCTGTGAAAAGTGAATGTGGAAAGCCCCATGAAATTCATGATTTTGCTGAAAAAATAAGAGCAGGAAAATGTTGCATGAGACAAAAAATATATTTTGCTGTGGTTTTTTTTTAGAAACAATGAGCGATGCTGCTGAAGGAGATGAGGGAAGTAGTTTCAAAGGGGCAAAATACCTTTTCTATTGTTTGGGGATTTTCTTTATCTTTTTTTTTTTTTTTTTAAATGCATGAGACAGCATCAGTGGGAGATCCACCTGTTAGTATTCCACCGGTCAGTATAACTTACTTCTAATCTGAAAGTTGCATTTCTTGTGGCAGATCAGACTGCTTCCTTCATCTGTCTAATGCTTGCTTCTCCTAAACAAGCACAAATTACCAGCACATTACCACCTTAAGAAGTTTGAAATGCAGTGCCTACACAGCCGAGGATGTGCCTTTCTTTATAAAGGTACCCTCTTCATATCATACCTCAGTTCTACAGACCACAGGACATTATTGACCTGATACCTCCAGCTACTACGAAAAGTAAAATCTGATGGCATAAGTGGTTTTCCTCTTGTAAAGCTGACATAGTCTTAATCTTCATTGGGGTGCATTGCACGTTGATCTATTCTCTTCGGCTTTGATGAGAGTGAGTGTGCCTTGATGAAACAAAAACATTATGTGGGATAAAAAAATTGCTTAGCTGATTAGAAAAGGAATACAGTTGTCATTTTCCTGTCTTTTATATAAGCACTTCAGAAAGCCTCGTGAACCCAAACTGGAGCTCTGATTTGAGAATACATAGGAGAGAGGACAATGGGGGAGGTTGGATTGTTTTTCTACATTTGGGAAAGCATTACCCTGAAGTTTTCTGTTGTTTTAGCATGATCAAATATCCTCCACAAAGAGAATCAGTGCTGCTAGAAATTGGCCTAAGATTAATGTCCAGTTTGTTTTTAGGTTCACATAGCTATCCAATGAGAAATTTGGACTGGACCTTTAATTGCTGCGCAGAGAAGCAGCCCTGTGTCACTCCAAAAAAACAGGATCAGATTTTTCCTCTGATACTGACATTAAAGAGGCCAATGAAAGTTGCACTCGCAGGTCTGAGGGCAGATTTTTTGGCCCAGATATTTTCCGAGTGAATAAAATATGAGAAAGTCTTTGTGTAGCTGGTGCCTTGGGTTTTGCTTTTCACAGAGTGTTTTATTTCCCTGGCATGCTTTCTGCAACATCTAGTGAACATTGGTGGAGCCTGAAATAATGTATCAAGAATTTTCTTCCTGAGATGAGGCTGCTCTAGTTGCAAGGCATTCCCAAGTGAGCTCCCTAATGAGTGATAGATGGGACAAATAACAGGAAGGATCCTTAAACGTTCCAAGTTTTGCATGAAAAATGATAATTTTGGGGGGATGCTATGTTTGGTACCTAGCCTAGAATTCTCCTACATTTTGATAGTGGTGCCTTCAGAATGATGCAGTGAGTCATAATATTTGACACTCAGGGAGATTTTTACTGGATCTCTAAACACTTGTCAAGACTTGAGAAGAATACTTTAAGAAGAATTATGATTTCCTTTGAGAGTTTATGGAACTGTTCTTATTTTTATAAAGCCTGTTTCCTTTTCTTCAAAACAAACAAAAAAAAATTAGAAACTTCAAAAGCATGTATTGACCATTTTTAGTGAAAGGATAGTTGAAGGCATCTATCCACACTGTATTCAGTTATTATATCATTAAATGGTCTTCCAAAAATATTTCCAACTTTAGATCATTGAGTTCTTTTAATGTCACCAGGCAGTTACTTTTTTTTCATGTTTATTTTCACATAAGATTTGTAGCACACAAGAGACATGAGAAATACCAAGAGGACGAACTGGCAAGTTGTCCAAACCTCATAGCAAGTTCTGACCTGCTTGTGTTCATGTCTGCCCAAAGGCCAAGGGCGTTGCTTTGCTTGTTAGTATTTGGGACGGTTGGTGGGCTGTGGATTTGGGAATTGCTTAGTAAGCAGACCTATCTCCAGTTCTGCCACCTCAAAAATGTGTTAATAGCTGTCCCCAATGACAGCCGTGTTCATATTTGTAAGACTTGAACATCTCTAGTTGCTTTTGAGGAGGAAGAAAGTACAATGGCAAACCTCAAGTCCAGAGAATGATCTGTTTCCCTGGTTCCCATGGATTTGCAGCATTTGATTTCATTGGCATGTCCTCCTTCTTGGGCTGGATACATTCATTACATTTGCCCAAGCTTTGTCCAGGGCTGTAAAAAGACTTGGTATATTTAATAGTGGTGACTTCTTGGGATTCCTTGGCTCCAGATGGAATTGGTTGTCTTATAACGGACACTATGAACAACAGGCTGTCCGACTGCAGATTGCCATGCCAAACTTCTCCGATATTGCCAAACCCAGCCCACTAAAAGTCAGGAGGGTGTGTGTGTCACATGAATGCAGGGTTTACAATGGTAGTACCCTCTCTCATGTCTCCACAGCTTGTATTCTTGCCCCTCTTTCTCACTTATGCTTGACAACTCTCAAAAGCAAATATATTAGATGTTTCATGTTTGGAAGGGAAAAAAAAAGAGTAATTTTTGCAAATACATTTTATACCTCCATTCTAATATGAAGAGTCAAATAAAGAGCTGTGTAGGTTGTACTGTAGGGAGGCTAGAGATGTTGGAGAAATCACCTGAAGGAGTGAGCTGGGGGTGTTAACAACTTAAACCATACCCGTCACCACCAGAGTCAGCCTTAAAATTGTGCTGTCATCCCTGCTAGGTCACAAGACTGATAAAAGATGGACACTTCTGATTTGCATTTTCCATCCAAATTTTGATCTTCGTGGTTTGCTTGGCTTGTGCTTTCAAGTGTTTCTCTGTAGCCACTAGAGTTAGAAATGTAAGGGTTTTTGAAAATGGAGTTTCTCACAAGACAGGTGGAGCTGCAGCTTCATGAAAATACTGCTTAAACATTGCCAGTCCACCAGTGCCTCCCACGTTATCCCTCTTCCCACACCATCCACATGGCTTGCTGTTCATGTGATGGTATGTATCGTGTATAGGCACACAAAATATGCATAACCTTGAAACCCCACAGATGTGGTCTTCTGGTATAGCTGTGTAGGGGACTTTGGGACTGTAGCTTTTGGGGGGGTTCCGTGTTGAAAGTGCCTGACCTTTGCTTTTCCTGCAAGGCTTTGGGAGGTGTGGGGTAGGTTTCTGTTGGTTTCTTGGGAAGGCAAGGGATTCTGTGGTCTTTGGCTGGATCTCAAATCCTGGGGTACTGAAGTGTGACCTAATAATTTAGGACTCAGAGAACAGTGGTATTTAAATAAACTATCTGGTTTTGAACATTCTAGAACTATTAATTATTACAATTTATACAAATCCAGGGAGGTGCATGGCATGTAACACACCATACCTAGAAACAGCTGAGCTGAGCTTACATGTGATGGGTTTTTTTCCTGAAAAGACATCATCTCCTGTGAGCACAATAGAGCTAGTACTTTTCTTATAAATAGTGAATGTTTTATAATTGCACGCAGTCCTAAAGCTGGTTCCTATTATTGAGAGTTGCAGAGGTTTTGGGGGGGGAGGGTCTGTGCGTTGTTGTTCTTTTCCAGAATTATGTCCAATCAGCTTCTTTGGCAGAGTATTAACTACGGCTAAAATATGTTTCAGTGTGAAAATGTTACGGTCTAATGAGCAACTTCACTTTTGTGTCACTTTCTTGCTTTGATATAAGAGGTTCTGGGTCAGGAACTGCCCATTTGATCCTTAGTCTGTCTCCAAGTAGAGTTTATATGTCAGTGCTTTTGATACCAGCCTTTCAAATTCATGTGACAGAAACAGTACAGTCACTGTAGGTCAAAGGAGCCCAATTTAATGAAGTCTCATGCGCCCTCACAAGCAATCTTGTCGCTTCCTGCTGAGCTACTGAGCTGTCTCCATTTAGGCAGATTCACCATCCCTGAACATCATGGTTGGAGCTACTTCAGGATTATCCAAGTTGCGTTACCACTTTATTGCTTTTTCTTTTGCCTCAGGTGAACTGTGTGATGAGGTGATTAACCACTGTGTTCCTGATCTAAATCCATGCCAACATGAGTCCAAATGCCTTCCCCTTGACAAAGGAACCAGGTAAGTGTGTGTGTATGTTGGTCTCCACACACTGGGCAGATACATCCATTGACTTTACCAGGTTGAACTGGCAATGAGTTTGGGGTAGAAATCATCAAAATTAATGCAAATAGTGCAAGACTATATATACTTCATATGCAGTTACGTTTTAATTTTAATGCAACCATACGTACTTTTCTAGCTTTCTGTGGTTTCACAGAATCAGAGAACAGTAGGGGTTGGAAGGGACCTCTGGAGACCATCTAGTCCAACCCCCCCTGCTAAAGCAGGATCCCCCAGAGCAGGTTGCACAGGATCATGTCCGGGCGGGTTTTGAATATCTGCAGAGAAGGAGACTCCACAACCTCTCTGAGCAGCCTGTTCCAGTGCTCGGTCACCCTCAGAGTGAAGAAGTTTGGGTTGGTTTTTTTCAAGGTTTTCTTAAAAATAATGGTTGTACCCCCACAGCAGAGAAATTATTCTGGAATAGAGCATGGCAAAAGGAGTACTTCTGGAAGTTACTGCAAAGTACCTTATCCTGCATCAGAAACGAAGGACAGTTTCCTTACGTATGCCTTAGGGCATCCATCAATTCAAGCAGCATAACAGGAGCCTTAATAGATGTAACTCGGCTCTCCTCAGCCCATGCTGGCTTAGTGTTTAAAATGCAGTCCCCATTGTAACTACTGAGAAGGGAAAGATAAACTTGTGGCCAGCGCATAAAGCTGGGGATCAGTTTTCTGATGTATTCCCACTTTAGATGTTGTCTTCCAGGACAGCTGATGGTCTTGGGCTGTGCTGGCCAAGGCCAGCCTTGATCACAGTGGGGCTCCTCTCCCCACCTTCCTCACCTGGGTGGCAGCAGAAAACGGCTCTCACTCAGGAGCTGCCGCCTTCGGTTGGCTACAGAGGCGAGTCTCGCTTGGCTCATGTGAGATTTTGTGAAGTCTCCTGTGTTTGCCTTTATGTATTGGGAATGACACTGACTTTCACAGAGGCAAAGGAAAGCTTCATGTTTTAAATGGCAGTACAACATCTGGAGATTTGGGGGTTGGGGTGTTTTGAGAGGCGCGCAGTAGCAACGTTCATCACTTGTCCGAAGAGAGAATTTCAGAGCAATTTAGCAAATAGAGACAGTCAATTGAAAAGTCAAGCTCTATGGAAAGCTTGTCAAGAAAAGATCTTTGAATGAAAGAAGTAAGAAAGGAAGACAAATTCAGGAGAGTTCTGTGCAGCTGTGAGCTGTGTTCTGCACTTTCCACTAAGGCTGTTTTCACAGCCGTGATGCAATCCTGGGGGCTCGCTGATTCCCTCCTAGGGGGGAGGGCTGGGGTTTTGTGAGGGACACCATCACCCAGCACACCCAGCATGTTGCTGGGGTGGGACGGTGGCACTCTTTGGTCTTCCTGGTGACTTGCAGTTGGGTTCAGATTGTGTCCTGTGAAGCAACCAGCATGTCAGAATAGTGTAAACTAATACATAGAACATTTTGGGATAGTTAAAAAGAAGGAACCCAAAATTTTAGAGATGCTGACTATCTTGAGGGCAGCTGAATCTGTGCTAGACAGTCAGTCTACAACTCACGCCTTTCTTTTGGGTGAGAAACCACCACACAGAAATGTTTCCAACTCTTGAGGAAGATGAAACTTAAATTATTAGGACAGTTCCTGAAGTGATGCACAGGGACTGGATAAGGAGATGTGTACCGGTACATAAATAGCCCCTGCTGTTCTTTCCAGCTTTCATTCCTAGTTAATCCATCATTCAGCTACATCATGTTCCGAGGGAAAGGCTTGTAACTCAAATTACCTTATGTTGCTAGATGTATGAAGGGATGGAGACAGCTGTGGTCCTGAATGGTCTTCCCCTTGCTGGAAGCATTTTCATACCTACTACCCCAAAAAAATTGAGTAAATAAGACACTTTTGCTTGCTTGCTTGCTAGAAGAGTGTTTTTCACAGTGGGGCTATTAACGCTTGATGGGAGCCTAAATAACTACTTGTAAATATTTTCTACTACTGTTTGTTGTGTTATCTTCCCACTATTCACCAAATGCTACACAAAAATCTAGAATTTCTTTACTACTTCTGTCCCATTTTGCTTTCTAGCAGGCCAGACTTGAGAGGTGAAGGAGCCTGCCCAGCCTTGAATGTAGATTTGTCCAAGTATTGGTTTTTCTTTCACACTTTAGTTGCACCAAACCATTCAGAAATGGGCTGAGAGCTCTCAGCAGCTTTTGCAGTCATGTGTGGTTGCTGCTGGGTCTCACTGAAAACCACAACCACTTCTGGTCCTGTGCTGTTGCTGATCCCTTGAGCAGTTTGACCTCCTGACCTGTGATGTACCATACATTTGGCACGCAATGCCGCAGTATAATGCCACGTGCAGAATGAGCCAGAGTCATGCACCAGTCCTCCGCTCTGCTTACAGAGGTGGGGAATATCAATGGCAGGATTCAGGTTCCTCCTGAGCTGACCACCCACTTGTCAGGCTTGTGCCCTGGGTATGTGAGTAGGGGACACCAGTAAAGAACATCATAGCAGCAAGGACACCAGTCTGTCTGTCCTGCCTTCAGCTCTAGTCAATCTGCAACTCTGCAGAGGGAGGAAAAGATGACAAAGACAGGAAAAAAAAATAGGAAGCCAAGTTATTTATTGATATGGGGAGGGAAATTCCATTCTGGCCCTGCAATAGAAGCCATGATTCACGGCTTTAATACAATAGACATTGAGTGCATGCAGATGCAAATCCCCTTGGATAGGCCAACGTTTTTAAATACCACTAGACATGTTTTTAGGCTCTCTCTAGTACTGGGAATGCTGCCATCACTACAAGGCTGTAGCAGAAAAGAAGATTTTAACTGTACTGGTGTCAGATGGTCACTGGGAAATGAGATAACTGATCTAATTGTGCAAATAAGTCTTAGCAGGATTTGAATATGAAAGTTTCTTTGCTGCCTTTTTTACTGCATACTTTTTTTTGATACTCAGTCACTTGCTGGCACAATGTGGGACAGGGATGGAGCTGACATGCCATCATTCCCTCATGGCAGAGACCTTGGGTTTCCAGGAGGAGGTTGGGTGAGGCACTCACGTGGCTGAGTTTCTCACCTGCTATACTCCAGGCATGCATTTTTGGTAGCTTCAGCCTAGATGTGACACACAAAGAGCTCCGCGATGACTGACCCAAAAGGAATTCCATGTTTCTAAAGGGAAAGCCAAGCTTGGAAGCAAACTGGACTATTCCGGTGTGTGTTTGGCTGCACAGAGCTCTTTGCTTTCTAGGCTAAAATTGCAGGTGGCTTTCCTCACTTCCAGCCTCCACAGCTTTATTGTGCTGTTACTATAGAAGAAGAGTAGCTTTCTGTATGCCAGAAAACAAAACAAAACTCAACACAAAAATACCATTTAACACAATTAAATGACTTCTAAAATATAACTTCAGGAAAGGAGCATGTTTTTCCATTCACTGTATTGATGTTGGAGCATGGTATAAATATACTTTATTATTCTAAATCTTGGAATTATTACCTGACAGCTTAAAATGCTGATTTAACGCAGCCCTGCAGAGAAAAGTGGTGGTTCTGTCATTACTGAGATAGCCAATACACATCATAAAATTGATGCATGGCAGCCCTGAATAAGGAACTGCACATCGTTCGTTATTACATCACTTCATATTAGGACTGCAGGGATCAATAAAAAGCAACAGGATTAAATGCTGCCAATTCCCCCCACAAAGTCTTTTGATTGACATTATTTGCTTGCAGGTCTGGCTAAAATGTTGCCAAAAAATGTTGCCTGATTCTTATGGTTTGGGGAAGGAACACTTTTTGGGTTTGCTCTGTTTTATTATCTCCGTTATGTTAATCACAGTATTCCCCGAGCCACCAAGGTGTAAAAAAAGCAATTCAGGTGTGCAGAGCTGGAACACCAACCATCCTGTGGCTGCAGAGGGTCATGGTGGGGACCTCTCCGATGGGGAGCATGGAGGGAGAAAGAAAGTATATGCATCTACATACCCTTATCCATCCTACAGCCTGCAGGTTAATAGGCTTTGCCGTATTTCCTGCCTTTTTAGCCAGTCACAAGCCGTGCTTTGAAATGGAGGTTGAAGGTCACATTCGTCTCAGTGCTTGAGCTAGGTGGTTGCTGAAGTCCTGATGCTGTGGCAGCCCTTCTCTGGTCATTAGCACACACAGGACCTGCTGTTGCGCTCTGGCAAGTTTCCCCCAACTCACTTGCCCTGATGAGCTGGGGAGCAGCCAGGAGCCAAAACATGCTGTCTCTCGGAACCAAATTCAGCACAATGACTGCTGCCTGGAAAGTGGAAATATCTTTTCCTCATCAGCTCCCATGTGTCCGTGGGAACCCTCTGAAGAGGGTTTCCACAAGGAGCCTCCTCCTGCATGTACCCCACCAGGCTGCTGGCAGGTAGGAGGAGGAGGCGGCAAGCGGAATGCATTGGTGGAGCAGCAGTTTCTCTCCTGATGCCGCCTCCATCAACTTTATGATGTGTCTCCTCATCCAGCTCTCGGTGGCAAGCACGCTGCGTCCAAACAAGGGGCTCTAGCAAGAGCGCAGACCTCTTCTTTATTGCTGAAGTTAACTGTAGCTCTTCCCTTGTTTTGGTTTAAGCGATACGCCTTTTGTTTTCCAGATGTGCAGTAACATCCAGCTGGGAAGAGTAAAACGTGTTTTATGGACTAAAGCGTGTTCATGACTAAACATTGTCTACACTATAGATTCAAAAAGAAGCTGTTCAGCAATCCCAAAAGATCTGTTCCGAGTCAGAGACTTTGGGATGCATTTTCTATTGTCAGGTTATAAACTTCTGCAAGGCTTATAACAGAAATGCTGACACAGCCTTCGTACAAGAAACTTGACAATTGTATAAAATAAAAAAATGCCAATGTCTGCAGGTTTGGGTGTATCCCATTGTGTGGCTCCTATGAGCGGCGTTACCCCGTAGCAGGAGGTACATGCTTCGCCCGAGTGTCACCACGGGAAAGGACAGGCTTCAAAGACAACTTTCTGTAGTTTGCAGCAACATTTGCTATGCCTTGCAAATGAATGACAAACAGGTGGTGATCTCAAAACTGATGGTCTTTTCCTTTAAATTGGCTGAGTTTTATGACTTGCTTGCAGATTGCTTCCATTTGGAAGGTAGAACCTTACTGTGCTCTGTGTAGCTGCACAGGGCCGACCTCAGACACTCAGCAGTGTGCAGACATTGGCAAAATCATAGTCCGAGACACCAGAGCAACTGCCCTTGCAGAATATTGCCCTTTGAGTCTGTAAGGTTAGAGAAGATGTTGTCATCTTTAGCGTAATTTTGAGACCACTGTATGATCACCCTTCTCCACAGACCTGACTGAGGAAAAGCAGTAGTGTGGTATTGCTTTGCTCGGCCTGGATTTAAGCAGATTGCAGAACCTCAGCTGCAGACAGGCAGGAGGGACTTGAGCATTTCTGACGGCAGGAATTGTGCTTGATGTTGCCAAGAATAATTGCTAACACCTTTCCATCTCAAATCAGATTGGTGCTAGGCTGCCTGTGTGCGCTATTGTTGTGAATGTTGAAACAAGCTATTAACAGCGATCTCTTGTATTTCAGATGCGAGTGCTTGCCAGGTTACAGTGGAAAACACTGTGAAATAGATGATGATGACTGCGTGGGCCATAAGTGTCGCCATGGAGCTGTCTGCGTAGATGCAGTCAATGGCTACACCTGCGTCTGTCCTCAGGGTTTCAGGTACGTGAGAGTCAGCTCCTCCCCTGGACTGTCTTCTGTACATAGTGTCAGGGCGCTTTCTTTAATTGCTTTCATCCTCAGAGCTGAGCGGCCTCTAGGTATGGTATCGATCTGTCATTCCTACATGAATGAATGGCTCAGTGCTTCAAATGTTGCAGCTGAAGTAGGTTTAACGAATTAACTGAATACAAGGGAATGATGATTCTTGCTTTGAAAACAGCAATTTGCCTTTTGTGTAGTGCTGTGTTAGTTTGCCTGCCTGCCTGCCCAGCCTTTCCTGGTAAAACACTAGGTAATACATTCACATAAATTACATGGGGATAAACTCTGCATACACGAGAGAGAGTAAAGGATAATAAAATTACATATATGAACCCTCAGACCTGGCTGCACAAAACCATGAGTCTGGAGGTTCTGTGCCAGTATCTCTGTGCCTGTTGGTGGATGGGCTCAGTACGATTTGGGCTGTAAATTTCCAGTCTCTGATTCTGACAGCTGCCAATATATCTGACTCCTGGAAATCTCTCTGTCTGTCAAAGATAAGTGTGCTGCTCCAAATGGATTCACTAATCATTGCCTGGGGCTGGATACTGGCTTCCTTCCAGCTAAACCTTTTCTGTGTTTGAAATACACACGAGACAAAGAAGGAGTACCTGAAAAGATCAGTCTTGACAAAGCAGAAATTGCATGAACACTTATAAATCATTTTCTCTGCTTTGTATCTGCAACTGTTTTCATTCTTCTTGCTTTCATCCATGCTGGTTTTGGGGATTTTTTCCCTCTCAACACACATTTTTATTGCAAAGCAGACAGACTTCCCTGAATAGGCATTGATATATAACATAATGTCAGCCCGTGGTTTCACAGAATCAGACTTGTTATTTACAGGATATCAGATATCCTCTGAATTTCAAATTCATACCCTTTTCTCTGTATTTCATTCTCTGCTTCAATCCCTTTGATGGCCTTAGGGATCTTGCAGATTGGTGACTGGCAAGGATAACAAGTGGCTGTCCCACAGTGGAATTGTAAATGCTCAGTGTTATCTAATTGTTAGAGTTGAGAAACAGGATTGCAAAGCCGTATCTGGAGTCAAGGGTAACTTAAGCCTGTCATCAGATGGTAGTGACTGGGAGACTTCTGCTGCAGGTCCTCTGATTTGTAAGGCATGCCAGTAGCCAGTAGTAGGCAGTGATGAGTGAGAGGTACTTTTTTCCCGGGAGTGCAGGGTCACAGTGTTTGGCAGAGATGTTTTGAGCTGTGACATACTTGAGCGGAGCAGCAGGGCTAGGTGGAAGACTGGCCTGGGTCCCTTCCTGTGTACCAAGCAGCTCCTACTGGCAATTTGGGCAGTGCCCTGGGTTGGCTGATCTCACACCAGGGACTTCAAGAGCAGAACCTGGAACAGCCCAGCCTGCTCCCTCGCTCAAATGAGTGGGTTTCATTCCACCACAAGTCCTCCAAGAACAGAAAACATCTTTCTACACAAAGTTCCAAAACCCTGCTACTAGCTTAGACAGCACTTCACAGCCTGAGGTAGACTTGGGTGAGCAAAGTAATCCTGTTGCCTGTCAATAGCAGCAGAGCCAGGATTAACATGGTTTCCTGCTTGCTTGCCTTTTTTTGTTGTTTTTTTTAACTACTCCATGGCACCTCCCTAAATCTCCTGTGCAAGATGCAAGGGAGCAAGGGTCTTTGAGGAGAAACCTAAAACCTAGTCTAGGGAAACCTGGTCTAGTGGAGGGTGTCCCTGCCTGTGACAGGGGGGTTGGAACTAGATGATCTTTGAGGTCCCTTCCAACCCAAACTGTTCTATGATTCTATGAAAAACAGGGCACTAACAGGCTCTGTCTGCCAAGGCTGAGCAAGCTGAAGCCCCTTATGTTCCCCATGCAGAATAGTCCCAGATATTGTTTGATTTCAGGATTAAAATTCTGCTAACAAAATATGATCTGCTTATTATTCTTTCCATGACTCCAGCCTTCTGTAGTTTAAAGGCCTGCTGCTCTGAAGGGGGTTCTGGTTGATTTTTTTCCCCTCTTAAGATTGCAATTGCAAAGACGGTGATTGACAGAGTTCAGGTTTCTGATGTTCAGGGCTATAGATTCAACTGTTCACGAAGCGTGCCTCAGGCACTGGGCTGTGTGGCAAGGAGATGACTTTGCAAGTATTTGAAGGCTGCAAGTGTTGATGAAAAGGAGAGAACACAAGGGGTGGGCTGACAGGTAACTAGGAGACCTAAAATGATGATTAATAAAGTTTTTTGACTAAGTATCAGGAATCATTTCTCAGCAGTGAGTTTGCAGAGTGACCACCCAGTTATCTGGAGCTTATGCTGTTGTGAGAAATGCATAGACCTGTAGTAATTTTATGGTTGTCACCATGCTGTATGTCAAAGCCACTTGGAGTCACACGTTAATAAGGATGTTAAAACTTAAATCCTCGTACGGTTGAACAATGGCACTCCAGTAATTCTTAACAGTGTAGGGCCTCATATGCACAAAGACGCACCCCTAATGGCTGCCCCCAAAAGCGATAGTACCAACATGCACACACCTGTTTTCCCATCTTAGCATTTCCTATTCACGTGTAGTTGTCCTCCACGCAGCACCTTTCCTTATCACTCAGCAATCTTTTGCAATTGCATAATCCACTTTCTTCCTGAAAAGTTTTCAGTGTTTTCTTCCCAAAATAACATTCATTTACCCCCTGCAGATGAAAACATTTCTGAGGATTTGTGAATCCCATTGGATAAAACCTAACTTATCAAACCTTCCCTCTAGCAATCAGCCTCACAGTAGTGTTGTCCTGATAAGTGTTGCTCTAGTGGGGAAGCACACATTAAGGCTGCTGAGCTTGATAGAAAGCGCTGTTCCTCCATTGTGTGGATGCTTCAGAGTTCCCCACTGGGATAGTTTGCTGCAAGAAACTCAGCAGTGATTATTTAAATAAATGAGATTGAACCAGGCAGAATGGACTTGGCCAAGCTATGCAAGTCAGGCTGTGCTCCACATTCTGCTGCTGGGGAAATAAATAGTACTAATTATTTCTAAAAATATATTTTTAAAAATATTTTAAAGTACAGAAGAAAAGGCCTTGACAGACACTGTTGCTAATGTCTCTCCTCGATGCCAGTAGCAGGGCAGCTGCACTTGTAAAGCCACCCACTGAAGGGGTTTCCCGGCAAGGGAGAGTTGTGCTGGAGCCATACTGGGAGCTCAGGGAATCTTTCTGAGCAGCACCAGGAATCTTTCCGAGCAGCACCAAGCACAGACACACTGTCTTCCTGCAACATTTGCTTTCTGTTAGTGGAGGCTGTTGTGGGTCGCATGGATTTTTTTTATTATTATTATTTTTAACTTCCATGAAATTAGAATTATTTACACTGACTTTCCTTCTGCTTTCTAGTTGTTGCTCACAGACAAAACAAAATGGTTGGCATTAGGTAGAACAAAGCTAATGGGCTGGGTCAGCAGTGCTCCTTTCTGCTAGTCACCTCTGGAAAACAAATTGCACCTGACATCAGGCCAGAGGTGACAGCCATCTGTGGGGTCGATCCTAGTTTGATCCCATTGCTGGCTCTCCTGACACGTTTGCCAGCCAGCCGCAAAGCCCTGCACTGGAGAGAGAGATGAGACACTTAACGAAACCAGGCTTTGAACAGGAAAGTGTTCCAGTCGGGCAGTCCACTTTGGTGCCTGGCTAGCAATGGGGACGTGGCGCTGATGTGTCCTCAGCTCGTCAACTCTGGCTGGGTCTGACTGCTGTGCCGGTAGGCAGCTACTACAGTAACTACCTTAAATTGGCAAGAATTGCTTTCTGTGTATCTGTCTTCCCATGAGGTTGTTGCTATTTTTTAAAATTCCTATGTTTTTTTGGAAAGGGGAATCCAAACCATCTCTTGCTGAGTGGTGCTGTGCCCCCCAAGGTACTGCGCGAGGAACAGGGTGGCCTCTGGGGCTCTGCCAAGAAGCTGCAGCAAAGGGTCTCACTCAGGAAGGGAAAGTTCTCTTAGTCTATAATTAATTTGTAGTTTAGGTGTATTCACAAAGAAATGTTCCCAAGAACAAATTTCCTTTGAGAAACATATCAGACTGAGCAAAGATAACCGTTTCCCATGCGCAGTTATTCCGCCACACCATGCTGCCTGCCGTGCTCCCATTTCCACTGCTGCCCACAGCAGGCTGGACACTTTACCGACCCGGTACGTCTCCTCCAAATACTCCTTGAGCAAAGAAAATGGGGTCTATTCATTGCCAACAGTACTGCCTGCCAGATTACGCTTTTGAGATACGTGTGTCTAAAGGAATAGCTTGGCTTGTCCCTATGCAAGATTATGCTGTTCTGGGAGAGGATATTAACCACTTGGCTGGCGGGAAGTGCTTTGCTCCCCCTTTCTCCCCAAACTGAGAGTATTAACGGCCTATGGCTCTGCCCACGTACAGCACTAAGTGTCACCCGGGCAGTGAGGGGGATAAAGGGTCCCTGTTAACCACAGCGCTGGATGGGCACGGGGAGGCTGGCTGTGAAACATCACTCCATCTTTGTGGTGGATAAAGGAAGGTTAGGGCAATGCAATGAGAAAAGTGTTGAAATGCAATTTATCCTGAAAAGTTCTGACTGAGGAGGGAACATCCGCATGTTTGTGTACACGAGCGCAGCCAACCCCAAGTGACGCCAGGGCCGGAGCGGGACAGTCCCTGCAGGGCATGCACACGGGCAGCGGCGAGAGGCCGGCGCAGCACTGGGCTTTTAGGCCTTGGAAACCCCCAGCCATGTTTTTCCCCCTCCTCATGCTTATTCCTGTGTAACGGGTTTTTGTTTGCCATACCCACACCACCAGGTGCAAAGCCAACATACAGATTTGGGCAAAGTTAGGAAGCTGGTTAGGGTGTTCCGTGCTGTGTAACGGCTGTGGGGAAAGGAGAACTTTTCTGGCCTTCTCCCGGGTGCAAATCCTGAACGTTCGTGTCTTTCAAGGCATTCTTCAAGTTTGCCTTTTGTAAAAGTAGTAACGTAAAACCCTGTGTCTCTTCTTTCAGACGTGATAGAAAAGCAGAGGAACTGCATTGCTTTTGATGTGGTTCAAGATTTAGCCCATCCATATTTTGTTGTGTATTTCTCTCTCGTGTTTCCCAGAGGCAGACCGGAGGGTGGTGCGTGTTGGGAGAACAGGGGCAGGGAGAGGGTTGGGCTCTCATTCCACACAGTGCTAAAGATAGAGCCGTGGTACTCTGTGCAGAGTTTCACATGAGAAAATGCAAAAAGGAAAGCAGTCATCTCCGTTTCCTTCTGTTACAGAGGCAGCAGGTTCTGGTCTCTGTGGCTGAGCAAGATTGGGCTGGAGTATGTTGTGGCTGGTTTATTTGCTGTTCTTGCACGTCTTGTATCAGCGCTATTTACTGTAGGGTAACGGCTTGGGTTTCTGTTCTAATTGTATCTAGGAACGTTGCCTAGAAATTCACTGAGTTTCCAAGTCTCACCTGCTTTACTGGAGAGGAGTGAGGGTTTCGGCATTTTTTTGCTTTGTTTTTATGAGCGCGCTATTATTCCATAAAGTGCTCCCGGAATGGCAGGAAGTTCCTAGTGGGACAAGTGGGATTTCACTGTTCCAGGACTGGGCTGATGGGTTATTCACTGCATGACTGGCTCTGCCACAATCCTCTCCTGGCAAGCCCTCTGCCCCCGTGCTGACAAGCGCTGTGTAACACAGAGAGCTGGTGTGGGAGCCCGAGCCCACAGCCCTCGCTGCAGCTATCCCCACGGTCCTCCCCGCGGCCCAGCCTGACGCACGCTCCCTGCTCACCAGCTACCAATTTTTCATCATTTTACTGTCTACACGTTTTCAAGCAGTCACAGAACTTGACGCAAAGAATTTATGTTCTCTTATCAGTCCAAAAAGGGTTTGTTGGGTTTGGACAGTGGTTGTGATGCGAAATTTGGGGCATGGGTGCAGGGGCATGCCGTGCGCAGCCAGAGAGCCTGGCCCGCTCCCTTTGCAGTGCCCGTTGATTGCATACAACGGGTGTACACACCGTGGGTGTACTGGGCAGAGATTTTTCATTTACTTTTTGCAGTTTAGTCTGACACACGACATCACTGAAAGATGACTGCAGCTTTTTGCACTTTCTCCCTTTTCCCTGCTCCTTCTATGCTGGTGTCAATATTTCGGTGTAGCTGAGTCATTCTGACTGTGAAGTGTGCAGCCGTGCCAGATCCAGGAAGGCAGCCTGGGGACTGAGCCATTGCTGCCCCTGGGAGATGTGGCCCAAGCCTCAGAGATTAGAGGTTCCAGCATGTGGGTTTTGCTCAGCCTCTTGTATAGTTCAGACAAAACCACAGCACTTTCCTCCAAATCTGACTATGATTTGAGTTCACAAGTCCTCAGATCTGGCATTTGGTTTTCAGTTACCTCTGACTCTGGGAGATGTTCCTTTCCTTTGTGTTTTTCTGATCCAGGACATTGCCAACCACAAACTCAGCTAAAATAAAACTGATGATCCTGATGCTGTTAGAAACAAGCAATTCATGGCAGCTGCCCATCAAATAGCATGGGATCAGTGTGTTCCTTCTGAGACTTTTTAGCAGTTGCCCATCTGTTGATGACACACTTGCCGATACACAGTAAATCAAGTGAGGAGGCTGTAAAAAACACTAAAAGCAGAGGATTTTCCCCTTGCTTACCACCAGCAGAGGTAGGCTCAAGTCACAAAGCCTAGGATGGGGATTTTTGGCTGAGGAGTGGTGCGTGTTTCTGGATGGCTGGGAAAGCAGGTGAGGAAACTTCGTGTTTGAGCTTAAATGGCTCCCAGTTTTTGCTGGGAACGTCTGCACGGCACAGTGTGAGATGAAAGCTATTTTAGACAGACTGCTGTACCTTGCAGAGCTAAATAACCACAGCAAAGTGCAGCACAGATTGCTTTCAGTATTTGAACTGGCTCGTTCAGACTGATTGTGGGAATTTCTGTGGAGCACTTCGCTGGACAGCTTTCACACAGTGAAGCAGGCACATGGTAGCTGAATCTCAGAGTCACTATACCACAGTAATAGTATAACATCAGCATCTGAAAGCGTTTCCTTCCTTAAAAAAATGGTGATAATTGAGGCCGCTTCTTGTTTCCTTTACCTTCTACAGCGGACTTTTCTGTGAAACTCCTCCGCCGATGGTTCTGCTCCAGACGAGCCCATGTGATAACTACGAGTGCCAGAACGGGGCCCAGTGCATCGTCGCGCACAGTGAGCCCGTCTGTCGCTGCCTCGCTGGCTTTGCTGGGCAGAAGTGCGAGAAGCTCATCACAGTCAACTTTGTTGGGAAGGATTCCTATGTGGAGCTGCCATCAGCCAAAATTCGCCCTCAAGCAAACATCTCCCTCCAGGTATGTCAGGCAGAACATCAGTTGCCAGCCCAGTACTGTTCTAAGCAATAATGCATATACACGTATATGGTTTTTTATTCTGAAGGAACAGGGTCTAGTGGCCAAGATGCTGACAAAGTTAGAGACAACATGTGAGCCAGTTGTCTGCTCTAAAATTATTGAAACATTAAGAAGCAACTAAGGCACCACTGTACCTTTGTGGACGCACATCCTGCCTCCGGAATCTCGCCACTCTCTTATTCCCAGACTGGCAATGTCACTAGAGGTGATTCAGCAAACCTCCCTGTCTTCTTACTGATTTCCAGCATTGTGTTTCATCCTGTAGAAATTAATGCTTAATATTAGGAGACTTATTAAAAGAGGCTGCTCTGAATGGCCTTGCCAGACAATATTTTGCTTACTCTCTTACTGTGAACATTCAGTAGATAAAAGGCCTGGGATTTTGTTACAATCCTGTTGTTACACTTAAATTTGGTTTGAGGTCTAAGCCTGTCATCTTTGTGGTTGTGGATACTTAGTCCAATATGACATTGAAGTGATTTGGTAGTTATTTGCATTCACAATCTAGTAGGCATTAAATCGATCTTTTTTTTCCCCCTTAATATCCCAAAGTAAATGAGGGAATAATTTCTAGCTTTAGACCTTTTCTAATAAGGAGCTGTGTGGAGCACATATATGACGTGACACACCTCTTTCTTAGGCCACGGATTGTTAATCAGTGTTAATACTTCTACGGTAGATTCATCCTACAAGTGAAGCATAACATTTCAAAAGATGTGAGAGGAAAAAATCATCCCTCTGTGTTTATTTTATTGCCTTTATTTTCTCAATTTGAAGAGATTGTATTCCACAGTTGGAAATGTTTAAAATTCTAGACTTACTTGATAGAGTTTGGTTGTAATTAAAACACAAATGTCAAGACATGGGGAAAAAGGACCAAATTTCCACAGTGAAAACAGATTTTTAAGGGTGGTTCCTGCAAAGTGTATTCTAATGAGAAAATTCTGTAATATTTCTTTATCTTTTCCTTAATAGCTTGAGTATACAGTTCATATGAAAGTGAAGCTGATTCACGTATATTTGAAACTCCAGTTTTTCTTCAAAATTCCCATTTATTTAATATCACAAAAGAGATTCCAAAATATGGGCACTCTAAAATATAGGCACTCTAAAACACAGCTCCCAAAGGCTCCAAGTACTTTAGGTCGACTTTAAAGCTGAAAATCTGGACATTGTCTTCTTAAATGTACAAAACACATTACATCAGCCATAGCTTGCAAAATAAAACTGATTATTATAAAAAGCACATGCAGATGACTTTGCTTCTTGTTTCCCAGGCTGAATATTATTCTTGCATCCAGTAATTAATCACTAGTGAATTCAAATTAGAATACAACATTGATTATTAAGAACAGATAGAGGAAATCTTATTAAAAAGAGTTCAAGAAAAAAAATCTTTTCAGGGCAAAAGGATGACAGTATTTAAATATATATATAAAAATGCAGACAGATTTTTAAATGTACTGTTTAGTTTTGGCATGTAACAGCTATTATAAAAAATAAGAAATCCAAGAAATATGTACTGTGGAAATAGCAGGCAGGTTGTATCCAAAAATCCCATTTTGTCTCTTTTTTTTTTTTTTCCTTTTGTACTACAGGGACATTTGAGAGCTGGAGACTGGGAAAGTGGAGTTCATGTCTTTTCAGTGTTCAAGATTTTTTTTTTTGCCTTGATGTACATCAAAGCTAGAGGGATGAGGGCTACTGTATTCTTCCTGACTCTTTAAATGTCCCATTTGAACTCAGCATGACTTACTAATAACTTGGATAGAGTGAATAATTCATGGTTATGCTAGATGTGGGGACAGGTCCTTCTTTCCTTCTTTGTGTTCATAAACAAATCTATGAACAGATCAGCACCTGCTGAAATTTGTTTGCTTGTAATTGTGACACACTCCTTCTACTGCCAGAGTTGATTTTCTAAACCTCCACTTCAAGCTGGGGTAGCAGCTGAGAAATAAATTCATGTGTCGCCAAAAATACAGCAACAGTCTATTGACAGGGATCAAATAAATTGCAGTTTTCACTTCCTGAAAACTAGTTCCCATTTGAAACAAGGAGCCATCCCTTAGTGGGAGGCTGACCTGCTTGTGTATGACCCTCTCAATGTCACCAGGACCTTTTTGTGTCTCGCGGCTCTCACTCTCATTGTTGCTCATATATATGATTTATTAAATCATATTTGAATTGCATATATGATTTTGGTTTGATTTTTAATATAAGGTTATTTCTTTTTTAATCGTTCTCAAGCTTCCTTACCTGGTTATTAATATTTCACAGGTAGCAACGGACAAGGACAATGGCATCTTATTATACAAAGGAGACAACGATCCTTTGGCTCTGGAGTTGTACCAAGGACACGTGAGGCTCATCTACGACACCCTGAATTCGCCACCTACCACAGTGTACAGGTAAATAGCTAAGCCTTACCAAGACAGTTGATTTCCAAGAAAGATGGAGAGGTAGGTTTTTTCTAAGAAATGTGCATGGGAGAAGAATCTTTTATTTTACTTCACTGTATCTCTCTTATGTATGTAATTAGATAGGAAAATCAGAATAAAGACCTAGCTAGAGGTTGCATGGTTAAAAGTTGGCATTTATTTGCAGTACCAGTGATACTGTGTCCTATTGTGATTGCAGAAAAATGTTGTGTTTTCTCATCTGCTGTAAAGATTTCGTTTCTGCTGAATGTTGTCCTCGAAATAGTTCCAAGTAATCAGTTTCTCTGATGTTGATATTTAGGATTAATTTACTGTACCAAGACAGAACAGTGACTGTGCAACTGCAGGATCAGACTGTGTCAAATAGGGGCAGAAGGGCTGAATTCCTCTACAGGGCGAATATCTTTGGAAGAACTCTTACCTATATCAGTAGTAACGACACAAACCGTGAAAAAGCGCAAATTACAATGGTAAACTGTAGGTCAATTTGACCTTCAGACACTTGACTTTTGGGGATACCAAACCCACAGTTTTTATTCATTAATCACAAGAAAGAAAAGCAAATGGAAAAGTGGAGCCCATGCACAGAGGCGTTTCCCTAGGAATGGGAGGTGTGCTGCTCATGTCTCCCACTGTTCCTCTAGCAGCCCTCTCCCCAGGTAACACCCTTCTGATTATTTTTAAGCCCTGTTGCTCCAGTTTGTTCTGTGTAAACATGCTGTTGTGACCGCACGGGGCCCATTCAGGTTCAGTGCAGTTTCATGGCATCGTGTTTTCGCGCAGAAGAGCTGGATTTCCCAGCCCACCTCGCTCTTTAAGGAAGAGCATCCTGTTAGAGCAAGTTGAAGGACGCCACCAAGTATCACGAGCCAGGATGGGCCTTGTACTTTTTCTGGCAAGTTTTCTCAGCAGTTGGTAAAACTTGAGTCTTTCAGGCGTATGGTAGCTGTGCAGAGCTTTCTTTAAGGGGAAATGAGAAAATTCTTTCTGTATAAAAGTAAATTGGATAATACCAATGCAGGGATGTCACCAGGAAGAGCAATGACTTGTCCACTGTGGGAATGAAGAAAGTAGTTTGTTTGTGATTTTCACCAGCTGGAAAGGTGTGAAAAATTTCTCTGTGTGTGGCTGCTAATCTTAATTGATTTCATGTTAGAGTGAAGCTGAAGTTGTTAAACAGTTTTACGCCACTAATTAGAACATAGGGAAAAGCTCATTATGTGTGGGCAGCACAAGGGGTGACGGATCGGTATGGATGCTTGGTCTCCGTTGTCAAGGGCAGAGCGGTGTGGTGACAAGAGCTGTTGCCACAATCACAACAACGCTTTATGGATCTGCCGCCTTCTGGCAAAGTTGCCAGAGATGGCAAGCGGCAGTGTCCTCATTATTCCTGCGCCCTTCATATTGATCAAGGAGGAGGTCTCCATTCAGACTGACACCTCATTACCATAAGATTAATGGCCTGTTCACTACATTTTGTACTGTGTGATCTGTTGAGATGGGAAAGAAGCTGCTTAATACGATGCCCTTTCTGAAATGTCACTCTAATCTTTTATTAGTTTAAGGAGTGGAGCAAAATGGGATTAGCATGGAGCTTGATGGGAAAAGATTAGGTTGATTGAGAAAAACTGCAGCTAAAGAATGTCAAAAAGGGCCTCTAAATAGATTAAAAGACTTGTTTTCTTTAAGAGCTGAGGAAGGGGAAGGAAACCTGCTTCTCTCCTTACAGTCATAGGATTTAAGGGCAGAAGGTGTGAGTGGATCTGGTTTGACCTGCCCGTATATTCTGTTTGACATTTTGCTTAGGCGTAAACTCTGTGTGGCTAAGACATAACTTCCAGCTTGACACCGAGTTTGGAAAATGCCAAATAATGGAAATTCCGCCATTTCCTTTGGTAGCTTGGACAATGGACAATCATTGCCATTATTCAGGCATTGGCCGTAATGTCTAAGTTGTGTCACTAATACCTTCTGGATGTTTTAGAGGCTTTTTCCAGGGAAATGAAAGTCCTTTGATCGCTGGCACTGGCCCCCATGAATTTATCTGTGTGTTTAATTGTGTTATCTCCTCACTTGCGTTTTGATGAAATGAATAGCTGATTCAGTGTGATGCATTTTACCTAAACCTTAAGAATTTGGGGAACTCTTTTCTGCAACTTCCACAATTTTTCATTAAAAATAAGGTTACTAGGAGAACCTGAAACATGCAAATTTTAGCCTCACCGTTGGTAAAACAGTTTGCCTTCTCTATTGCCTAGTCCTTGCTGTCTTGTTTAGATGCCTCATTTAAATCTCATTCTCAGCAAAAGTGGACTGTTTGCCTTTGAGAAGCTCTCTTGAAAGACTATTAGATTAATTTTCATGGACAATATCAGGCATTGCTATCCTCCAAAGGGATCCACTTCTTGGAAGAGCTGAGCAGTGCTTTGGCTCTTGTTTCTCCTCAGAAGCGTCTGCCAAAAGAGGAGGAGGCCTTAAAATACTGCCTGGTGGGAACCGGGCCAGCTACAGCTGCAGGAAATCTATAACTGACCTGGGCCTGTGCTGTAACTGAGATGTTTTGCTGGCTATTTCAGGTACTCCCATGATGGGATGTGGGAAGTCATTGGCAAGTCATACTATCTGTAATTCTTCATCAGTCTCCATGATAAGACTTATTAATAGTACTTCAGAGCAGTAAAATTAGCACAGTACTTGGCTACTACTACAGGTAGTACCCTGTAGGGATAAGATAAAGCCTGTTGTCAGGCAGGTTTGGAAGCCAGCAGTGAGTAAGACCTACTTGGTGGTAGTTTGCAGTAGTATTCAGTGGAAGGGTGCTGGAAGGACGAAGGACACAGTGCGTTCCATTGCGGAACTCTCCCCCAGCCCCTTAGTACGCAGCCAGGGTGAAGGTTTGTACCAGGCACGGGGTGTGTGAGCTCTGAGCTTCCTGCTGTGGTGTGCTCTGCGGGTGGGCTCACTTTGCAAAACTCTTCTAGAAGATTGACGGCAGGGATGTGGTGTAACAGCAGACTGCAGGCGTGCCGGGAAGAGCAATTCATTTTATCTGCCCCATGAAGGCAGGTTGTGTCTGGCTGTGGGAGTGGACCTGTTCCTGTATCTCATTTGCTCCTTTCAGCAGATTTAAGTACAAAGTTAGTCTGGAAAAGCCCAAGATTAACTTGCTGTACGTTCAGATTTGCTTTACATGTATTCATTCCTATGGTATGTTTGGATAGAAAGGTTAAAGTTGACATTGGACTTTTCTTTCATTCAAGTCAGATAAAGGTCAGCAAATGTCCGATGGAAAAGACTACCTAAAATACATTGTCATTTATCATCAGGTTAGAAAGAAATACAAGTTAATGCATGAATATGCAATGATTGAACTCGCCCTCTTGAAAGAAAAGCTCACTGGTCTCTTATGGGAACTCCTCGCTTGTAAGCTGCAGAGTAACAGTTTCCTGGGCATCATAGTAAACATCTTATAGGAGATCCATTTTTGAAGTAGGATTCCTATGTGTCGTTTCTTTTATTCTATTTAATTATTCTCTAGATGCTCAAATGAGAACAGAAATCTGTTTCTGAGGGCTTTATTGACCTCCTGGTTTCTGCACTGGTGAGACTTACTCTTCCACGCCATGCCAGTACGTAGTACGGAGCCAACAGTGAGTTCTTGAAATAAAGTAAATCTTCTACACAGCTACCCTGCCTTAATTTAAAGATACCAACTGATGAGGAGCGTGCTGCTTTTATTTACCACCACGCTGCAATTGTTAAATGTTTGAATTAACAAAGAGTGTGCAATCCTGTAGTTTCAGCACTCGGCCATTGATACTGGTCTCTGTTTAACTGTATTCTGTAGGGAGAGCTTCCTATTTTCAGTGGTTTTTCCTTCCTCTGTTCCTTGAACCAGAGATAAGACCTGACCTGCAATTTTTTTTCTGATAAGTTTTATGCTACTATACAGTCATATTGATTTGGATGCTAAATTAATCTTTCCTAATAGAAATGGAAAAGAGAAATTTGACACAAACTACTGATGCAATTCCCTCCAGAGATCCCAGATTGCCATGTTGCATACAGACTGTCATATCTGGTAAAGAGCAAGATGCAGACGTCATTGGTGTAAAATCATGCGTTTTCATGCAGGCTTCCTGACAGCAGTGAAAAAGGAGGCAGTTAGGAAAACAGAATTAATTGTATTTGTCTTTCTGCAGAGCCTACACCCAAATTACATTCTAATTCCTTTTAAAAGTATCCGTGTGTGATCTGTTTTCAAAAATGCTACATGATTAAAAATATTTCTTATAGATAGATTGTATCATGCAGTTCCCATGGTCTGGCTGATTCTTAGGTAGCATAGATGGATGTTCTTGTGGTTAAAGCAAAAGGCCTGAAGTAAGGGAGCTTAAATTCTTACTGTATCTGCCTCATATGTGATGACTGTGGGATGACAAATTAAATCTGGTTCTCTGTGCACAAAAAGTACAGAAATGCACAAAAAATAGAAAACATGTTTCAGAAATGTGCTGCGGGTCTCCGGAGGGTGAGGTTCCTTCTCCCTCCAGGCTGGGGAGCAGCACAAGGCTCTTACTTCGGGAGCACGTGCGAACTGCCCGTGCCGTTCCACATCACGCAGGCTCTGCCCGTGGTGGCCGGAGCCCGGGGAGCAGCCCACGGCCACCAGCACTCGTTTCCAACACCAGGTTCCCGACTGTGCTGCTCCTGAACTGAACTTGGTTGTACTCAAGGACTTTGATCCTCTACTCAGATCTCATAGACTTCTCCTCTGCTCTTCTGGTGCTGAGATTGAACAGTTGCTTTGGTGATGGAAGAATTTCCACATCTTCCAAAGATGCGGGAGATGGGATTTTTGTGTAATTGCCTCTCTTTAGCTGTAATTGCTTATCTGCAAAAAGCCTGTGAGGCTTCACCATTAATTCACTGCCTTCTAGGAAGGAATGTGCTGGAGGAGTGAAAGCATT